TATTACATTTTATATATTATAATATTATAATTATATTAACAATTTTAATAATATTGTTATATTATATATCATAATTATATAATATATTATATAATAATAATTTTATTATATTATGTTACATTTTATATATTATAATGTTATAATTATATTAACAATTTTAATAATATTGTTATATTATATATTATAATTATATAATGTATTATATTATATTCATTTTATATATTATATTGATAGATAAAATATTAGTGTTATATATAGCATAAGGGTAAGTTTGTCAACATGAAAATATTCATATTCCATTCCAGAGAATTCTTGAAATTACAACCAAACAAATGAATCAACTTTATTTTTCATTCCATTTACATTACCATTCTCATTACCATTCCTCCACTGTAACTAAACGCACCCTAAAAAGATGTTGAACTCATCAGAATAGTTTGTACTTTAAGTAGTAAAATAAATAAATATAAATTAAAGTTCTTTAATTAGTTTTTAGATAATGTTTAAAAAAAATATTTTTATATTTAAGAAGAGTTTTTGAATTTATTTGGATAAAAAAATCAAAAATATTTCTTGTTATAAAAAGTAATGTAATAAAAGAATATAGATGGAATTTTAATTTATTATTTACAAATAAAAGGTTAAAAATTATAAATAAAAAAGTTTTTTATAAGTATTTTTTTATAAACACTAAAAAGATGACTTGTTTTAAAAATGCTTAAAAAAATTAAAAAATACTTTAAAATGACCATCCAAATAAATTTAAAAGTGACTTTTAAACTAAATAAGTCAAAAATAATTTTTTTAAGCTAATCCAAATGGACCCTTACTCCTATCAACCTTCAACATTTCATTAACATTAATTTTTAGATTATTTCTAAATTGGATAAAGAATATGCTTAACCAGATTATGTCAGAGAATTTATTTTATCTCTTTATACAAAGCTTATCTACAACTTATAATGCTTAGATAGCAAGCAAAGGGGGAAAAAAAAAAGAAAAAAAAACAAACAAATTTGGGTCTTGGTCCACGTGCATGTAAAATTGACCTAACACACTTTAAAAGTCCATCTTAACCTAAACGATTAACTTATTGGGTCCTAGTCTTTCCATGTATATATATAAACTATTTCACATCTCCACTCATTTTCTATGTGAGACAACACATACATACAATTTTCTTAATAATCTCCTCCTTATGTGTGTGTGTCCATTGAGCTCCCCTTCAAACCAAAGTTTCTAGTAGCCGACACATCCAAGCATCACATTCCAAGCGGGGCATCACACTCCAAACAGGAGCCAACTCGAGCATGAGAAAGAGAACTAAAACCATGCGACTCCACCAATGCTCTACCATCCGCACGTGCAACGGAACCAACTACGGGAACACCAACTCTCCACGCAAAGCAACTTGGGAACTGCAATCAAGTGTGATCGCTTAGCTTATACGAACCATCGGCTTTAATATCACTTGTTGACGAGACTCTACATGCATGTGAAACTAGCCTAATACACTTTATGAGCCCAATTTAACCCAAAAAGTTTACTTATTGGGTCTTGGTCTTTCTATATATATAAACCATTTCACATCTCCACTCACTTTTTATGTGAAACAACACACATATGCATTTTTCTCAATAATTACACATGCATATGTAAAAGACTGAATTTAATTTACAATGCTATCAACTGTAAAACTAAAAGTAAACGCAAAAGAGCACAAAACTTCAATATACAGCGTATTACATTCCCATCAAAACATTTTCTGTTGATTGTCATTGCAAACCAAGAGAAAAGCTGCTACAAAAGGGAAAGGGAAGAACTAGTCAAATTTGAGCTTGAGCAATCGAAGTTAGGTTAAACAATGGCCTTAAATTCACCTTCATGACAAAATTGAACCATGAAAGTCCAGAGAGCAATCTTCGAGCACAATATTGCTGATTTCGAGCAGAAAATTCATTCAGAAGGCCTATTCAAACTTGAATTCTCACTCTCCAAGGATATGATGGAAGCAAGCCTGTCATAAACCTGAAAAACAGTTTGGACATTACACAATCCATTCCCAGAACAAAAGGGAAAGAAATTTACGTCTCGAGAACTAAATTTATGATCACATACCGCGGAAAGATGCTCATTTTTGTCCTCTTTGTTTGCAGATGACGCATCATACCTAGACAGCAGATGAAAGGAACAAAGAACATTCAGTCGTGCTCGGTTTGGTTGCCAAGAAAAGAAGAAAACTAGACAAATTTGGTTTCACTAATCACATTACGTTCAAAGTTTGTCCAAGTTCTTGATTAGTTAAAGGCAAAAGAGCCATAAAATGAATATAATTTACATACCAATCTCGTGGAATGCCGGCTATATCACGAGCTGAATAATTGAAAGGGCCTTTCAACTCTACATTATACTCTTTTAACAAGTCTGTGTGTCAAAAGGGATAATTTAGTGTCTTCTCATGCCTTAATGATGATGAGGAAAGAGGGAGTACAGACACGGACATTGAAAGTCAAGCAAACCTTTAAAAGCGACGCCTGGATCGCGATCCATTCTCCGACATACATCGACAAACCAATGGACACCAACAGCTACATGTGCAACTTCTTCATCAGCAATTCTAGCTACAATATTAGACGTTCGCAGGTCACCAAAGCCAACCAATCTTTGCACGAGTCTAGGCCCAGCATCAAGACCTCTCGCCTCCTAAAACCGTACAAAATTTAAGCATGAACAACTTCACCATGTCAAATATAAACAAAAATGATAAGAAATACACATTAAGGAAGCTTATGAAGAATTATTTAGGTCAAAAAGCATTTTGATGGAATTACAAGATTATAGATTTAAAAATGATCAAAAGTGACATCACTTTAATGCTATATGTACTGTAGTTTCTATTGCAGAAGTGACATCTCTTTAGTCCGTCAACTATGCATATTAAGCTTCAACGTTCAAACACCCCAAAATACAGGTCTATATAATAACCTAAAATGAAATATAGACCTTGCATATATGAAGACTGCAAAATGGAGGAATTTCCAGATAACTTGGCAGCAAAACTTGAACCAAAGAGATCATAAACAAGCACAAAAATTTTTCCTCCCCTTTCCTAGTCCATAAATTGTAGGTTTTACAAGGGACACTAGGAAAATACAGTTATAGCACATTAGGCATACTTTCTAATCAGAATCTCACAAGTAAAATAGCTATTTCACAATGACTACTCAGGAGCCAGTCTGCTTTCTATCTTACACATAAAACAGTTTGTATTCTCCATCTCATCCCAGACACCACACTGGAACTAGCCCATTTAAGGACGAACAACCCAATCACGAGGGGGAAAAGAACACTCATTAATGGAGGAAATAGCCCTATATTCTATTCTCTTACACAATCAGCTGCGCACAAAGATGTTCCTATTTCTATTGAGAGTGACCCACGAGAGAGACCCTCTTTATCTATTGCTCGGGAGATACCACAGCACACTAAAGTGACACCTTACTATTGACTTGAACAAAACTAACTACATCGTTTTAGATTCCTCATAAGGTGAATTAATTCCACCAACAACTTATTAATCAGTCTTTCACTCACCTTCTGGAGAAAAAAAAGGTTTTATTTTTAACATCCTTTTAACTAGTCAAGTAATAACACATCTCTGCCAACACTTTGCTCTATTCCTACACTTTCATTTTTCGTTCTCAGCACAATTTTAAGCAGCCTGCATGACAATTGAAGTTGATGGTATGATTCGCAAAAACATTTCGCAGAAGTTCGAACAATTTTCAAATGTTAGGTTCAAAATCAGCTATTGGGCCTCCCCAAGACCTCCAAGAAACAATACCATATCTCCAACTATGTTTACATTCTTTCTTCTCTTCTCAACTCAAAACAACAAAATTCAAATCTCTAAACTCAAAACTTGACTTGGAGAAACGTTGAGGCAATCAACACCAAAAGGTCACCTCTTTAAGAAAGAAGTGAATCATAAATTACCTGGACTAGAGGAATTGCAGCCAAACGCGCAGCAACATTATCAGACGTTTTCTCACACTCCCTCCAAAGCAAATTATGAGCAGCTATATCTCCATATCTAGTTAAAAAGAGTAAAATAGCAAAGTTAGTCGCAGAAACAGGAAATAGTTATCTATAAAAAAATCCAACTACCTTCCTCACTTGTAACCAAGCTCGGCAAGTCTCTGAGAGCACCAAGCGAAATGGCGACTCTCGTCATCGGCAACATGAGCGAAATCCGCAAAGAATCCCTCCCCAAGAATCTCACTAAAAGGTGAGAAACGAACAACAGTGTCCCACGCCAAATCAATGGCATTGAGCTCCACATGAGCAAGATTATGAAGCATATAGGCATTCAGAGGCAACCCTGAGTTTTTGGGAGCGGGAATCTCCTTTGGGGATACCTACCATATCAGTATTGAAGAATTCAGTGAAAATTAAGCCCAAAATCTCCACTTTGGAGAGAGAATTGTGAGAAAGAAATCGAATTCGAAGAGAGCGCAAACCAGGTGGGGTTTGGGAGGGCGAGAGGGGCGAGAAGGCGGTTGGGCGGCGCCGATAGGGAGGTTATGAAGGCGCCATGTGGAGTAGACGACATGGGAAAGCCTCGACTTGGCGAGAGGGTCACTGGTCTTCAGAACCAGAGTACCAAGCTCCGCCAGAGATAAAGTTGACGACGCCGTTAATGGAGGGTCGTTTTCATCTCTTATTGAGGGCTGTGGCTCTGGACCATTCTGTCCCCATCTTCGATCTTCGTTGATTGGGCTCTCTCTCCAGGTCTCTAGACCAGACCAAGCTGAGTATTGCAGAGAAGAAGAAGAAGAAGAAGAAGAAGAAGAAGAAATGCACTTGGTTTTGAAGGTTACATTTGGAGGTGGGAGAAGGACAGCAACTCTGAGTTTGAGAAGCTGCATTTTTCATGCGAGTCGATGGACATGAACTGATGAACCCTTTCCCTTCTCGCTTTGCCTTTTGAGTATTAATATCACGTTTCGTTTCTGTACTAGAGCTATTTTTACTTGATATGGCTTGGTAATCATTGGTTGGTTATTGGTGTTTATCATTCTTTTTTGTTTGTTTTCAACGCATCCATTTCCTTTGTTTCTTGATTTTGACCCCAAATGGTGAACTTCTATGGTGTGTAAGAATTCCGGTACCGCGTCGGGAATACGATGACTTGTACAACTTGTCAACTTCAAAATGTTGGAGACTTGGGAGTTTTATAGCCATGAAGGCACCATAAGCACGTTCTAAGTTCCAACTTCTGTAGTTTGGTTTTGCATTGTCCAAATCATCCCATTTATTTCAACGATTCGAATTTAAAATTCAAATTTTGTTACAGTAAAAAACTCTAAAAAACAATCACATCTAACTTTTTTGTTAGAATAAAAAACTCGCATAAAGTCACATATAACTCGAATTAAAAACTCGAATCAACGAACTAAACAAACCCTTAATATAGAGTCCAATAAAACCTATTAAAGAGCAATTAAATATAAATTTCAGGAACCAAATCTATTTTTTAATTCTGACCAGACACGAACAAGGGAAGCAAGAATAACAAGAAACCAACTTGATTCCATAACTTGATTGCATAACATGCATGACGTTGCTGCAATACCTTTAGTTTTTGCCCAAGACATTTATTGGACTTCCATACAAACAAGGTTGTAGAAGGAATGCAGAGAATCGGAGCAAATTAAGAATCGATGGATCAACCCACGCAAAAACACAGGCAAAACTGATTTATATGGAAGAAATTATGACTAAATGAACTTGAAATTACAGAGTACAGACTATCTCCTGCTAATTTAACAACAAAGAATCCTGAATCTGCCAGCATAATAACAAAGACAAGTCACTGAAACTTAGATGAGTAGCAGTAGTTAGCAATGTACACGTGCTAAGGGAAAACAGACCAACTGTATCTAGCTATCACCATATTCTACCAATATAATACAAATCTTTGACAAAACAAAAGGAGCCACGAGTGGAAAACGAGTCATTATCTCTCGACCACAGCGAGGAACAGACCGACCCACTTTGGCAGTGGCACATTAAGTTAATGGCCTTGACGACATTTCCACTGTACACCAAATGCAGATTCAAAACCATAGTATGAGACTTTGGATCGCCAAAGAGCAAATATCCACCTAGTTGAATTCCTTAGATCTGCCATGTAAAGAAAATCAGGATCTGTAACTGCTGTTGGTATCTGACCTACGAACCTTAAATTATCAATAACATGATTGTTTTATATTTCGTTGCAATCAAGAAGGGCAAACCAGGCATAATTCAGCAAGTCCCCTAAATGAATGATATGATTTGTAACAGTATTTGAAATAAATCAAAAAGAAATCTCAAGAAAGGGAGGTTTTTTTCTCTCTATTTTTTTTTTCCCCACAGCCAACTTATAATGAACGTGCTTGTACTGAGGCCCCAGTTCAAAAGAATAAAAGTACATCATTCTTTAGCATAGTATGTTTGTGCCAAAGTAACTTAATAACTATTTTAAAGCATTGCATGAACAAGTTATGCCACATTCAATTATCTCCGCCATTCAAACATCTGGTGACATAAAGCCTTCATTACAAGCATGCCTACCCAAGTGGCATTTCAAATTTTATTCTCTCCGTGACCAATGACCAAAAAGAAAGAAAAAAAAAAGGAAAAAGAAAGATGGGGTCTGATTTACTCTATAGCAAGGAAGGTCAAATAAGCAGGATCAACTGTCTGGTATTAACAATGTGTCAAGCATGGTTTTAAAACACTACAGAGCCAAGCAGCATCATGAATGACAAATTATGTGAGCATCAAAATAAGAATTAATAGGACAAGAGATTGCAAACAAAAGGCAAAGCGAAAAAATCTCAAAGATCAATTTGGTATGAGGTTACCTAATTTAGCAAACAATCAAGTTCCTGGTGAGCCTGCATCAGATCCAGATGCCGACGAACTATCGCTATCAGAGTCTGCAGGAATGCATATATATGAGACCAATAAATAGCTAAAAAAGCCCAACAACGCATATTAATAATGATTTGTCACGTTCAAATAGAGATGGGATAACTATAACAGTACCGCTCGAGGAAGATCCAGAACTGCTAGAGCTGCTAGAACTACTTGACCTACTCCTATTATCCCCCTGGTCATCCCCTCGAACCGGCAAGGAAGAGGAAATAATATTTTCATCTGCTTTCATGATAGTGCAAAAACAATATATATATATATATATATATATCAGTTCGTTGAAAATAATCATTAACTTCAATGCCATCGATGATGAAGTTCTAAAAACTTTACTCACTTGTCTTGTTTTCTTTGGGCACCTCTGGTACAATTTGAGCCTGGGTCTGGAAAGAACAGAGAAAAAGTTATAAAAGAATTATAATACAAAAGACACTAATATGAGAAAAGGTCTGATATTAGCAAAATGTGATTCAAGAGTGTCAAGAATTCACCTTCTCCTGGGCATTCTGCAAAGCTTCTGCTCTGGCTTTGATAGCAAGTTCCGCTTTGCGCTTATTCTTGCTCAAACTCTTCTTGTAGTTGGTCACAAACCTATCAAGCTCCCACAGTGTCTCCGCGTCAACACTATCAATGTCCACTTCAATTTCTTCATCGTGTTGGAAAAGTGACGAATTCCTCTTCTTAATAATCTGTACAATAGCGTCTAGCTTCTCTGAAGGCAAACTCTGAAGATTTGTGCTGAGTTTTTGCTTTTCGTCATAAGTCATATCTCTTTTATGCGGGTCTTTTGCCTTTGGCTTCTTCAAAGCAGGTGTCCTAGCACTTGGAGTAATACTCATAGGCCTTGGCCTGGTATCAACAGAGTGTGTCATTGATTCCGACCTATCCAAAATCCTTCTCATATCAAGAGGAGCCAATAGCGGAGGCGGAAGCTTTCTTGGTGTAGGTGTTGGGAGGCCCATTCCATAATCATACCCGAATCTCATCTCTCGATTATAATCAGACTCTATAATAGCCCACCTCTCCTCGAAAATCCTCAATAGCTGCTCGGCCATGACATGAACATCCTGGCCCTTCGGGTTATACGTCATGGCATTTTGAAATGTAAGTCTCACATCCTCTGCAAATTCTTTCGGTGACTTGTACCAATTCTTACTCAACCTCGATTTGATGGTACCCAAGTCCATTGGATGTGTGATAATGGTACGATAATCGTGCAAGCCAAGACGCTCTGCATCAACGGGCTCATTAAACACCCAACCATGCTTGTGCTTCATCAGTTTCTCCAGCAACGAGCTACAGCTCTTGAAAAACTTCGTACCCATCCCAAACCCATTCCCCAGATCTCCACCATGCTTCTTTCCGTTCAGTTTAGACTTTTTGTTGCTCTCTGCAGGCGGAAACTTATCCTTCGCGAGTAGGAACTCTGAATTTCGATAAAACTGATTCGCCTTCGGTGTCCTTTTCTCCTTCTCCACATTATCACCCACGCCATGATTGTTCTCCAACACGGATATATTCAACTGGTGCAATGGCCTAGTAACCTCACGAGTGACAACAACAGGAGCGACTTCCGAATGAGCCCGCTTTGCTCCGCCATTACTGAGAACATTATTCGCCGGCACATGGGCATGAGCATACCCACTCATCTGCCCCTGTTTCACTTCTATCCTCTTCACCAAATTCTGCACTGTTTCGAGCTCGCCCTGAAGCTTCCTCCGAAGCTCGCGTACCTCCTGCTTCGACCTCGACCCCCAACCAATCTTAATTTGACTTTCTGAACCCTCCTTCCCTGGGACATTCCCGGCAGGCGGGTCCCTAGAGGTTGGGGCCGGAGCTGGAGCTGGATTCGGAGGCTCAGCCGCTTCCACAGCCGGAGTCGCTACCGGAGCTGGAGCTGGTTCCAGAGCCTCAGGCTCTGGCACTGGCTCTGCCGCAGCTGGAGCTGGTTCCGGAGCCTCAGGCTCAGGCTCTGGCTCTGGCTCTGCCGCAGCTGGAGCTGCAGCCACCTGTTGCTTATCCAAGCTTGCCGAATCGTTGGAGACTGCTGCATCTAACCTAGAAATAAGCTGCTGCGACAAATCTTCCGCCGTCTCCGACGACGGAGGCGGTTGAGTCGAATTCTCATCACTCTTCTTGCCGGTATCCTTATTAACATCGTCGTTTTTGGTTACGGTGTCGTCTGTAGCTGCGGCTACGGCGACGTTGTTGTTGTTGTTGTTGTTGTTGTCGTTCTTCTCGTTCTTGTCGCTCTTCTCGTTCTTTGTGTTGTTGTTGGTGGTAATACTGGAGATACTATTCTTCTTCGGTCCTTTGAATGCCTTTCTTGTATAAACCTTGCTCTCCATATACCTCTGCTTCTCTCTAGTTCTATCACCTCCTTCAACCATAGGCCCCGAAGCCATACATGTACCCCCTCCGAAACCCTAGTTTCACTTTTCCCCCGCGGATTTCACCAGAGCTTCGAACCGGTTCAAACTAGGGTTTATGACAAAGATCACCGACAAAAGAAAGACAAAAAACCCTAATTTTCCCTCAACGAATCCAGAACCATATTAGGGCTTTTCGACGAAAAAGGCAAAGAAACACACAAAAAAAAAAGGAATCTTATGGTTTACGATGGATAACTTCACCGCCTTCGATCGAACCAAGAAATACATAAATCGGAATAAACAGAAGCGAAAATTAGGGATGTACTCACAAATAAGACAAAACAAAGGGAGAAACTTAGGGCTTTCGAGAGCAGTTAGGTTTCGAGATGGTTTACCTTCTTCTCCTCTCTTCGATCAGATCTCGCACACGGGGACTTTCTCTCTCTAAAAAAACCTTTCTCTCTCTAGAATTCTCGAACAGTGTCTGTGAGTCTCTCTCTCTCCTCTTTCTCTCTCTATCCTTATCTTACAGGTGTACGGCAGCGGAAGGATTCGTGTGGCTCAACGGAGCGGACGAAGCGTGTGGGTGCACCAAAAGGAGTCGTGCCCGGGAAGTATCATAGCATGGTGGGGGGTGCTTGACCCACGCGGTTTCTCTGCGATTGGAGGGCACTGACGAGTGGGAGGGACAATTAGAGGGTTCGTGGGGGACGTGCGAGTGGTCTTGGGAGACGACTTTAAGGCGGGGAGTTTCATTTGCGAATGTTTGGAGGAGTTCCCCCAGCCGCTGATATAGCGCGTGCGGCTCAGTCTCTTGAGGGTGGCGGTGGCCTCCGGCTGGGTGTCGTCACGCGCCGATTAGTCGATTGGTGCTGAGCTAAATTCGTGAGTGGTTTACAGGTTTAAGGAGGGCTTTATTGGTTTGGCAGGGGTCAATGCGGATGCAAAAAATCCAAAGGCCCAAAATCTGTTTTTGGAATTCGAATGGGCTTACCCAAAAAAAAAAAAAAAAACAGTTTCTTATCAAAATTTCAATGAACCCCTTGAAAAGATTTAAACCGACACCCAAGAAGTAAAAAGCAAATTATGCACGTCTTTTTTTTTATTACAAAAAATTATGCACGTTTTTTTTTTATTACAAAAATTATGCACGTCCATTTGGTAGTCAAAGATATCAACTTTGTAGATTAGAACAAGAATTCCCTCAAACTTGGAGCCCGTTTGGTTCGTGAATTAAAATAATTTTTGATTTACGTATATTTTTTATGAGAGAAAATACTATAACGAATTATAAACTATGATTCGAATCAAAGAACGAATCCTCTAACCAAACGGGCTCTTATTATCAGAGCTCTCAAATTATTATTCACCCATTTGGAAACATAAATTAGAGACAAACAAAGATGATTTAAAGAACATCAATGGTCAAAATCCACATAACAAAATCTATAATTATAACATATATAAATTATGAGATATCTGTGTCTTTTTAAATGGAGTTTTAAAATATAGAGGGCTTGTTCTTTTGAGTGAAAAACTCAAAAAAGACAACTCGAGTTACAACTTTATTCGAGTTCATGTTCTTTTAAGTTTAAATTCGAGTTTAGGAATCAAACTCGAGTTCAAGTTTCCCCTTCAACTCGAGTTCAGAAACTCGAACTCAAATTAATGAACAGTATTTTTTCTATTCTTAAAAATGCTATAACTTTTTCGTTTTAATTTTGATTGAGATGATTTTTTTTTCTATGCGTTGACAACGAAAAGACGAATAAAACCCGACCCATATACCATATTAAAATTTTTCATCAGCATTGAGTCTTTATTAAAATACTATCTAAATACAAATTCAAGTTTTGACTCACTCAAACACAAACTCAAAAAGATTCTTATCTCAAACCATAACTCAAATGTACACAACTAAACACAAACTCAAGTTACAAGTTCAATTCAAGTTATAACTCAAATTCAACTAAAGAATTATACTTAAATTAAACTCCAAAAGAACAAGCCTAGAATTTTATAAATAGAGCTCGTGTTTTCTAAATACAATCTTTACATGATTATATTTCATAAAGGTCTGACTTAGTTACTATTGGTTCAATCTTTGTAATTGCAAAAGACAGTTTTATCCTCTCGATATTAACTGGTAAGAAGTTATCAGTTATCATTGTATTTTTTTTTTGAAAGTCAGTTATATTGATAATGGAAAAAGTTTTATTAGTATTTAGGCGTAGTTATCCCATCGTAGAACAAGAATTCCTTCAAACAAGTTATTATTCACCCATTTGGAAACATAGATTGGGACAAACAAAGATGATTTAAAGAATGTTAATGGTCAAAATCAACATAACAAAATCTTTAATAATAATATATATAAACCACAAGATATCCGTGTCTTTTCAAATGGAGTTATAAAATATGGGATATCCATGTCTTTTCAAATGGAGCTACAAAATACGGGATATTCGTGTCTTCTAAATAGAGCTCGCGTCTTTCCAAATACAATCTTCACCTTATCATATTTCTTAAAGTTTGACCTAGTTGCTATTGATTCAATCATTGTAATTACAATACACGGTTTTGTCCTCTTGATATTAACTGGTATGAAGTTATCAGTTATCATTGTATTTTTTTTTGAAAGTCAATTATTGGTAATTATGAATAAGTTATTAGGTGTAGTTATCCCATCATGTAATGAATTAAACTTTAAAATATTTTAGATTTAAAACGTATTTCCTCTCTGAAAAAACCTTTTTCCTTAAGAATTTGACTCAACGGGAGAGGGTTCTTCATTCTATAATTTCATTATTTTTCTTTGAATCTTGTAAAGAAAATTTTTTAAGATAAAATTGTTGCACTTAGCCTTAAAGTACATAAGTTTAGATTTTTACCCCTTATTTTTAATTAATATTCTTTTAACTAATATATTTATTTGAATAAAAAGAGTATTAATCAAGAAGACAGAGTAAAAATCCAGACTCATACACTCTAAGGGATATTTGTCTCATTTTTCCTTATCTTAATAGTTTTGTTGCCTGGATTTTTTTTTTGTGTGAATTTCAAAAAAATGTAACATATTCTTATTTTTTAACATATTTTGTCTGTGTAATATCGTTCAATGTAGAATATAGTATTCTAAAACAATATTCTTCCTTGTATTTTTTTTTTCTATATTTGGGATAATACCCAATACATCCTCGGTATTTTCTCAAAAACCCATTTTCACCCCTTTTAATATGTAAATACCCAAAACACCCCATATGTTTATAAAAAAAAGACTCAAATCACCCCTTGAAGTAGTTAAATTTTTTAAATACTAAGCTTTTACCCTTCCCAATATTTATTAAATACAATTTTAAACATTATTAAACCAAAATGTTAAATAAAATCAATCTTAAAAAATAAAAAACTCTCAAAATAATTGAAGTATCTCTTTAATTTTTTTTTTTATAATTAGAAGTATTTCCTTGATTGGAATATTTATTTGAATAGTTTTAAACAAAATTTATTTAAATTTTTAGTTAAATTGGAAAGGCTAATCATGATATTTTTAAAAATTTGACTGCTTTAAGGGGTGTTTTGGGCCTGCTTTCATAAACATAAGGGGTGTCTTAGACATTTGCATAATAAAAAGGGTAAAAGTGATAATAGAATAATTAATAATAGTTTGGTAAATAAATAACTAATAATTAATATATTAATCATATATATTAATTATAATTTATTAATTAGTAAATAGTTGATAAATAAAAAATAAACATTAATTACACAATTAATAATTAATATTAAATTAGAATTATTAATTATGTAATATAGTAATCAATAGTAATTAAGAATTGATAATCAGTAATTAATCATTATTTGAATAATAATTTCTAAAAATTAATCATTTCATATATCAAATAATAGATTATTAAATAAACATTAGTAATTAATTAACTAATTATTTAATTATGTGAATAAAAGTTAATTATTTAATTATTAAATAGAATATTAAAAAATTATTTGTATACTAATTACTTTTTATTAATACACTAATTAATCACTTATAAACTAGTAAATATGAGTATGTTACCAACATAGTAATTACTTATAATCGACTATTAATAATTGTTTTTTGATTATTTAACATATTAATTTATTATATAAATTGTTTAACATAATGTACACATTAATGATAACATCCATTATTATTTTATTAGTATATTAGTTTTTATTTGCTAAGTGATTATTAATAGCTTAATATATTAATTTAAAATTATTAATTGCATATACTCAAAATAAAATTTTATAAATATAACCAAACATGATTTCATTTTTTTATTATACTCAAAATATTCTCGTAAAATGCCAACCAAATGCAATTTTAAAATCGGCCCCATAATAATTTTTAAAACAATTGCATTTTCACTTTTGTACTGAAAACAAAACAATTTTGAAAATATTACCTAATGGGCTTTCTTTCCTTCTCTACCATCGGACCCAAACCCCACTCCCCGCCGGAGAATTATCCCTACCGCGCTCCACCTCGGCGCAGTAGCTCGACCTGCATGTCGTCGTCATTCGATCTCTCCGATCAAAGAACTTCATGGATAGAGCATCGTTCTTCTCTTTCTTTCCTCTTCTCTCTCGTGATTGCCACGACCCACGTGAGGGCTTGCCGGCCCTCCCTCGTTGGAGAACCATCACCACTAAGAAAAATATTAACTTTAAAGGACTAGCCTATCACCAAATGCGGAGCATAAGTTACTACATTAGACAGACCAACACAGTCCCTGCAACTCCATAACTAACCCAAAAAACTTTTGGACGAATTGCAATCATCAATAATAATATATACAATTTCCCTTTTTTAGTTTTGTGTGCAAGAATCTTTGACATTGGAAAAATTTATTACAAGAATCGATATTAAACATATCCGTTTTTTGTCAGATCCTTGGAAATTTTAGGCTTCTTATTTAGTCATTCTTTTTTGGATTAATTACAAAAAATCTCTGAACTCTACCCTTATAACATTTTGGTTCTAATCTTTAAAACGTAACATTTGTTCCCTTTAAACAATGAAAGGTTAACAAAAACGCCCTTCCATTAAGTTTTTTTAAACGAAAATTGACATTTGATTTATTATTTTAGAGATATTTTGATAGCACTATGATTTAAAATTTAATTTGAATTTAAAACTAATTTAAATTTAATTTTTTACTTATGATACATCCATCATTAATTGAATGTATGTGAAAAATTTTATGAATCTTTTTTTTGGTAAAATAAAAATATTTATGAAGTTGTTTTTTAAATATTTAAATTAGTTTAAGTTTAAATTAAATTTTAGACCTTAGACTTACCAAAATACCTTCAAAATAGCAAATTCAATATCAATTTCAGTTAAAAACTTAATGAATGGGTTTTTTGTTAACATTTCATTGTTCAGGGAGAACGGATGTTATGTTTTAAAAATCATTGGACAAAGTGTTACAAAGTGTATAATTCAACAAGAATTTTTGTAATTAATCCTTCTTTTTTAGCATTTCATTGTTCAGGAAGAACATATATTACGTTTTAAAGATCATGATGTAAAGTGTTTCAAGGTGTATAATTCAACAAAAATTTTTGTAATTAATCCTTCTTTTTTAGTTCCATCTGCTAATGAACACATAATGCTGTTTTTTTGTAGTAATAATGTGAACAATGTTTTTGATGGGGCGGCGTGGTCGGCGGAGGCGATGCGTTTGTAGTCGGCAGTGGAGGGGACGACAGCGCGGCTGTGGTGGCGTTTGTATGAAGAAGAAAGATCAATATTTTGTTTTTTTTTTCATTATTTTTTTGGGGGAAATTGTACCATACAGCGTTTTTTTTTTGTTCAACATCTAAAATAAATATTATATTTTAAAACAGTGCAAAAGAATTCC